CATCTCAAGATGTATGGGAGCTCCACATAATGGGTGTAATGTTACATTGGCAAATACTGCAGTTAATCTGGACCAAAAACACATCCCACAAACAGCAATCTGGAGGTGAATGAACAATTAGTAAGTGTTAGTGAAACTGAATGAGAGAGGACTGTTGAGAGAGGCACTGGGAGAACTCTCAGCAGTTTAAAATATTGTCACTCGCGAGGACCTTGATTTAACATCTCTTCAAAAGGGAGACCTTTGGCAAAACATCACTCAAATCATTGCATTGAACTATCAGCGCAGATTAAGAGATCAGGTCCTTCGAAAGGTCAGCGTGGCTCAGTTGGTAGCATTCTTGCCTGTGAGTAGGGTTACGGATTCAAGCCTCGTATTGTAACTTTGGACTGCAGTCTAGGATGACACTCCAATACAATGTTGGGAGAGATTTGCATTGTTGGAAGTGCCATCCTTCAGATGAGATGTCAAACCAAGGTTCTGTTTCCGTTCAGGTGGACTTGCAGTACAAAGAATTTGAGTTTCTCCGAGTGTCCTGGCCAACGATCCCCAGATAAAATCGGTCCTTCACTTAATGGCCGTTTATGGTACATTGTTAGACACAAATTACATTCACTGCTTCATTTACTTACAATACACGGTCTTTACAGTAAATCCTCCAAAACACTGAGACACCCTATCAACATGAAAGATACAATATCAAATATAAGGATTATATTATTAGAGGTGTCATTTGTTTTTGTACTTCTAGTTAAATTCACAAGATATTCCACCAATCTAAGTGTTTGGTGCTATAGGCTGACGATAATTGCTTTCTATCTTTGAAGCCAAGAGAGTACAGTCAAGGAGCAATGAAATATTGCCCACAGATCAATTTGCAGCTTTAGAGGTTGTGTTGATACATGACTGACTGCCTTCTTGAAATAATGTTTTGCCAATGTTTGATAGAATGAATCTGCACTGCACTGTAGCGCCAGCTGCATTATGAGCTCAAGCTATATCAAATGCAAGGATTATTATATTATTATAAATCCTAGTGGAGTGCTCAAACTCACAATGTGACCTAGAGGCAAGAGAGCTGTCAATTGTGCCAAACTGACACTAAATGTTTTGACTAACTATGGGCGGCCTTGTCTGCCAATATTGTTCTAAGATCGTGTCCTGTGTTTTTTTGCCAATTCAACTCTATGCTTAAGTAGAAATCATTAGAGATCAAATATTATTCAAGGAGATTAATTTATTTTGTCCTTAATCCCAGTGCCAGCCAATTGGGCGTTTTTCTTTATTATTTACCAAGGTTTGCATGCTGTCTTGTATCATGGCAGATTAGAGGCGTCATGCAACATATTTGTGCAGATACATACATGGTAGATCTTTCACAGATGATAAATAGACTTGTCCATTGTGGCTTTCAAGAGGGAAGTTGACAGGTATATGAAGGATAGAGGTTTGAAGGGTGTGGGGTAGGGACATAGCCATGGGTGGGCCACCTGTCGCTATCTGTGCTGCCTCATCATTACCTCCCGGGATGTTCCTGCTCTTCCTATCTTCCAATGCCATAGCTAGCAATGGAAACTTTTGGTCATTGCCCATCCATCATAAGTTTTTGCCCACCCTAATTTCCATTGCTATCTATGCCACTGGTTTGGGGGTGAGGTAGGGCAGGAGGATTGGATGAACACCTTGTTCTGAGAGCTGGTGCAGACTTGATGGGCTGAATGGCCTCCTCTTGTGCTCTAAATTTCTTTGGTTCTACACAAGATCAGTTTGGATGAAGAAGGCTCTTTGGCCCATTTGGTCTGAGCCTTCTTGACTGAGCCTATGGGCAGTTAGGACCAGGGTTGCAGTGGCTGTCAAGGTTTGCTCAATATGTGTTATGGGAAGGACTTTGTCACTTCCAGTTCTCTATAGATCTGGGATTCACGTTCGTTAGGAGCTCCGACAGGTGTTGGGAGCAGCAATGGATGTTGAGGGTGGAGTGGATCTGTAGAAAGGAGGGCTTCATGGTGCTGCTGCTGCCTGCACTGATTGTCGGGGGTTTAAATATATATGTATATATAGTACAATACTGTAAACCTCACATAAGCTATATCACATAAGCTATATAGTGGATTCCTGTAGCTCAGTAGCTTTGCAAGCGAGAGACCTGAGTTCAATTCCAGACAGGGCGAAACCTTGGGCAAGTTTCCTTACTCCACACAGAGCCTAATAATAATCCCTTCAAAAAACAAAACAATAATAAATTGGTCATTTTCAATCTACGACTGTTTGTGGGACATTGCTGTGCGCAATTGGCTGCCGGGTTCGCCCACAAATATACAGTCAATTCACTTTACAGTGTGTTCTGTGAAGCGCTTTGGGACGTCCTCCCGACGTGAAAAGCGCTATATCAAATGCAAGGATTATTATTATTATTATTATTATCAGTTGGCAACATACATTTAATGTGACTTATGCAAACTATGAGTTATGTGAAACTTACAATAGGAAGTTCAATGGGATTTGGGCAGATGTATGATTTAGGCAATTATACAATTTATGCAGATCAGATTTATGCAAGTTTTACTTTATGAATCCTCTGCAGGATCGTGAGAAAACCAAGGATTAAGAGGGTTATTAAATCTAGGAGGAATGAAGGTCACTTAAATACTGTGTTGAAGTCTCCTGTTTTTATTCNAAAAAATGTTTAATAGGAACATGTGCATCAGCTCTGAGTCATAAATTGCACTTCTGATAGGGCAGCAGGTACAACATATTGCAGCCAAGGTCAGCCGGTCACTTGATAAGGGTCACAAAGTTGTAATCAGCAATACAAAGATGAAAAAATCAATATAGTTGGAACAATGTACATTCCAATAATATAATGGCCAGAATGACTCTTAGTGTTTACGTTTCTCGCTGACACCAAGTGCAGTACTGCAGGAGAACTCCATTGTGATTATAGAGTGGTTAGAGCACTCGCCTCCCAAACGAGGGGATTCGGGTTTGATTCTCGGCCAGTGCGAAACCTTAGGCAAGTTTCCTTACTGCGCATGCCTCTGTTTACCTAGCAATAACTAGGAACTCGGTTGTTAGTCGATTGGTGAATTGCTTTTTGGGGGTAATAATCCCTCCCCAAAAAATACATTGGTCACTCCATCCATGACTGTTTGTGGGACGCACCCAAAATATCCAGTCAATTCACTTTACAATATATTCTGTGAAGTTCTTTGAGATGTCTCAATGACGTGATATGGTGTGATATCAAATGCAAGGATTATTACTATCAGAGATGCTGAATTTTGGACAAGACGTTAAACTGAAGTCCTATTTGCCAGCATGGTTTAAAGAACCCCCTGCACTGTTGGGAACGAGAACAAACTTTCTCCCAGTGTCCTGGCAAATAATCTTCCAGAGTAATTGAAAGGGCAGCTTGCTTTAAGAGCTCCATGCAGACTTGATGTAGGCAAGAGAGAGGGTGGGACATCTTCACAGCGTGAAAGGCGCTCTATAAATGTAGTTTTGTTGTTGGGTGAGGGTGTGGGCGTGGGAGGAGCGAGGTGAGCAGAGAAGGCAAAGGCATCAGTGTTTGCTGCAGTGCATAATTCTTTGTCCATGATATCATGTGATTATCACTACCTTGCACATACACAATGGCAATCATCTTGTTGATGAGATGCAGATGTACGAGGAATTAGATGCTTGCTTGACCTGCACCGCCAGTGGCTTAGTTTGGAGTTTAGTGTTCTATTAACAAAATATTGCAAAATGAACTTCAAACAACATTCTGCAACTAAATAAAACCAACCCACAATTAACTCGATGTGATCACCAAATTGAGCGCACGTGTGTGCTGCCCAGATTACTTCCACATTATTTGTATTTTAATGTTTAGCAATTTGTGCGGACAACATACACAGCTAATTACACTTTGAAAGTGACTTCACAGGAAGTCCTACAGAAAGAGTCTATAACTCATAGGAGAAAAAACAGGCATTCACCACCTCACTGAAACTGCTTAAAAATAGTTGTTTTATGGGAATTACATTTTGCATTTGTAATTTGTGCTGTCTGACGTATTGGTGTATTTGCAACTCCATAAAATCTCTTTACACATCAAATAATCCAGTGAAATGTAATGACCCGTAAAATGTTAAATAATAATAATCTTTGCATTTTATACAGCGCCTTATCACGTCACCAAAATGTCTCAAGGTGCTTCACGTGGTTTGGCTGCAGAGTGCAGTGACTTGTGTTGGTGTAGATATTGCACACAGCACTGGAGGGTCAACCAAGACTGCAAGGTCAAGGTGACTGATTTGTGACTTGTGCAAGCTCTCTTTTTATTTGAAATAATGCAGTCAATTCAGTGGAAGGGTAAACATATTTACCAAATTGAATGTATCTGGATGTGCCTCCTAACCCACCCACTCCTCCCCCCGTGATGACTGCATGAGGTTTTGGACTTGCACATCGCACCATGATTGTTGATTTGTCGGATACTGAGATTTATCATAAAGTCATTGAGGCCAAAGAGGACAACAGTGTTTTGTTTTGGTTTGTGGCTACACTTTATAATATATCCTGTGAAGCGCTTTGAGACATCTCAACGACATACCAAATGCAAGGATTATTTTTATTTCCTGACTTAAGAAAAAGCTTAGTCGCTGGCGTCCTTCTGATCAATCATTATCACCAACCAGTCTATCACTGATCTGATAGACCCATCGCCAACTGCCTGTCCTTAGCCTGATGTTAACAATCCTATAACATAATTCAAAAATGGAGCAATTTGAACCAGCTGTCTCTGGCCAACAATCCTCCAGATCAATGGGTGATTTGCACTATGGCCATTTTATGCTAGCCAATTGCTGGTGCAAATGGCTGCCATATGTGCCTATAAAAACAGTCACTGCCCAGCAACTGTGAAGCACTTAGAGACATTTTGGCGAGGTAACGCACTATAAAAATGCAATTTCTTTCTTTGCCAATAAAGGCAATTTATTTTACAAACGGTTTCATATCTCTGAGTTCTATGTTTCAACACACCTGTGTGTCCTTTAACCTCTAATACAAAGGTCACCATCCATAAAAACAATTACACCAATCAGCGGGTATAAAAATTAACAAGGTGCACAAAACTAGATCCATGTTTTGACAAGCAACTCACTCTGTGAAGAGCTCCACCAATATGAAGACTAACAAGTTTCTTGTGAACGCTCTAATATTGCCTGCCTTGATTTATGTGTCCTCATGTGCTTACGACCCAGGTAGGAAATAAAATAATCTTGATGAAGTTTGGGTCTTTTTTCCTTTATGCTTATGTTTCCCCAGGTTCCACTCTGCTGAAGTACATTTTGTTGAAATCATTTAAGTGCTCATGTACAAGTTTGAAGAAGGAAGAGTTAGCACTTCTTTCCATTTCAGAATTGATGGTGAAATTGGAATATTTAATATGATGTGTATTTAATTGAAGCTCTGGAGATCTGTTTTCATATTAATTCCACACTAGACTTGTTACTGACTTCTAACTAAATTTACTCTTGTGTATTCCAGCTATTGTTTGACTGTCATCGAAATTGTCAAAGTGGAACTAGCATTAATTGAATTAGCTCTAATTGGGTGGTGCCGTACAACATTGGCTCTCAGGAACTAGGTGTGACTGGAGCCCAGAATGCTGGGAAGCAAAATTGCCTTCAATTTATCACTAAGATGGTCTTCTTGCTTCAGTCATAAAGAAGCAGGAAGAATTAAGATGAGCGAGTGCTCATCTGAATTTGGGGTTAAAACGCATTGTAATAGTAAATCCTTGCATTTGATATACAGCACCTCATCATGTCGTTGAGTTCATCTCAATGTACTTCACAGGATATAATGTATAAAGTGGGGTGACTGTGTGCAATTTGTGGGCAAACGTTGCAGTCAATTTATACACAGCAGAGCCCTCCATAGAGACAATGTACTGTTTCCAATAACCCCATATCATTTGCTTTGGTGAACAGACTTGCTAACCTAATTCAGCTCTTTGAGTCATAGCCCTTGCATATTTTCACAGTTGCGAACAAAGCTATTTAAAACCTTTTACCTAAACTGCGTAATGCTGTAATTGCTAGCATTGAAATCAACCCTGACATTTAAAGTACCCTCCGTTGCCAAACAGTGTTACAATGTAATTCGAAGTAATTACATTATTGCATTATTTTGTTAAATTATATTGTCACATTTGTACCGGTGATGTTATAAATTCCAACACCGATTTCAATACTGACATTTAAAGTATCTGTGTCGAATCCTGAAAGACAAACTTTTTTTTAAAACGTCCTTTTTACAATCCAAGAGTTGCTTTTGAGTCACACGGGTAATGAGTTCAACCATCTCCATGCCTGGGTCAAGGGAAAAACCATCATTTGTGACCATAAGTGCCTAGTGATTTGCTACCTTGTCTTCTTAAAGTTAACACTAATCTGTCTTCTCACCCCGCCCCTGCCCACCCATAATACTTTTATTTTTTTCCTTTTCAGATATTTATAACAATAATAATACTTTATCACATTGTTGAGACACGATGAAGCGCTTTGCAGAATATACTATAGAGTATATTGTCTGTGTGGGCGAAATGCAGAGCCAATTGCGCACAGCAGTATCAAACAAATAGGAGTGAGTGACCAAATTTTTTTTGTGTGGGGGAAGGATTATTACCCTCAGAAAGTGATCCGCCAATCTAATAACAATTGGGTTCCTACTTATTACTAAGTAAACAGAGGTGTGTGGAGTAAGGAAACTTTCAAGTTTCCGCCCCTCCCGGGAATTGAACCAGGGTCCTCTCGCTTGTGAGGCGAGCGCTCTAACCACTACGCCACGGGACTCCACGTATTTTTTTGTATCTCGTTTCTTCTTAAAAGCGAATATTGATTCTGCCTAAAACATGGTTTTACATGGAGCATTCCACGTCCTGAAATTGGTGTTTTTTTAAAAAATTCTCTTAACCTTAGTTGTTGTGAAATTCTGTATTTATGACTGAGGTTGCCATTTGTCTCTGAGTCCTGATACAAATAATTACAACCAGTGATTCAAGTGTTATTCACTGTTATTGTATCTCGCAATGGAATACTTTGTGCGTTGCAGAAGTTACAAGATATTTGCCTTCCAGACCCAGGCTTCTTCTGCATTAACTGCAAGCTGGTAGATTCACTCAAGGCTGAAGTGGTCAGCCTTAGTGAGCAACTGGCCACGCACCAAAGTATTAGGGAGGGAGAAGTGCTTATAAATGGTGTAATAGAGGAAACTTGCTACAGGAAGGGATTGGGTCTCTGTTAGGAAACAGAAGTCGTGGTTGGCTAATAATAATAATAATCCTTGCATTTGAGACGTCTAGAAGATGTGAAAAGCGCTTTTTCACATCTTAGGCGTCTCAAAGTGCTTCACAGAATATGCTGTAAAGTGAATTGACTGTATATTTGTGGGCAAAACGCGGCAGCCAATTGTGCACAGCAAAGTTCCACAAACAGTCGTGGATTGAAAATTTATTATTGTTTTGTTTTGGAGGGATTATTATTAGGCGTGTGGAGTAAGGAAACTTGCCCAAGGTTTCACCCTGCCTAGAATTGAATCCAGCTATCTCACTTGCAAGGTGAGTGCTCTAACCACTGAGCTACAGGACTCCACAGGACTAATGGAGCAGGAGTGGACATCCCTGGTGCTCTCCAACAATTTCTTTCCTCTGGAGAGAGATGATATGAAAATCTAAGTGATGGCTGAGACAGGCAAGGGAGTCCCTGAACCGAGGCAATCCAGCAGCCTACTAGGGAAGGAGGGAAGAAGAGAAAGCGTAGCAGAAAAGTTGTGATATTAGGGTTCATAGATCACTTTCTGTGCAAACCAGACCCAGAAAATGGAATGGTAAGTCACCTACCAAGTGCACGGGTTGGGGATCTGATGTCTCGGGCTGACCAAATGCTACAGGGACTAAGTGAGGAACCAATTGTAGTTGTTCATGTGGGAAGAAATAGCATAGATAGAAGTACACCAAGGTCCTTCATGTTTAATTTAGAGCATTAGGAAGAAAACTAAAGGGAAAGGGTTCAAGTGTGGTATTTTCTGAATTAATACCCATACCAGTGCTAGTGAGGAAAGACAGAGGGTAATTAGGCAGATCAATGCGTGGCTAAGGCATTGATGTAGTGAGTCAGGCTTTCATTTCCTCAAACAATGGGGAACCTTTTGGAATAGGGGGCATCTATACAGACCAGATAGGCTCCACCTAAACAAAAGGTGGGGTGGAGGTGTTGGCAGGCTGGATAGATAATTTAGTTAGGGAGTGTTTAAACCAGGCACAGGGTAAGTGAGCAACTGAACTGATTAGGGAAAACCTTCAGGTGTACCAGTGTAATGGGTCTAACTCCAAAGGTTGGTAAAAAAGAAACAAAAAAAGCTTATAAAGTAAATGGGAAAGGCAAAAAACAATGGATCTGTATTTGCATTAATACAAGAAGTCTGACAGATAGATTGGACATCATTAGCATAACAGAGACATGGTGGAATGAATTCAATCAATTGGATACGCACCTGGAAGGTTATAAACTGTTTAGGAGGCACCGTATCGGGAGAAGAGGAAGTGGTGTGGCACTACATACAAGCTCCATTATTGAGATATAAGAGAGAGGATATAAAAAAGAGAAGGGCAGACACAGAATCACTTTGGGTAGAATTGAAAGATGGTAAGCTATTACTGGGGGTCTGCTATAAACCCCCAGGCCAGGATGAAAGCCTTGATCTGGAACTGTGAGATGAGATAAGGAAGACCACTAGTAAGGGACCAACTATAGTGGTTGGAGATTTTAACTTACTTGAAATTGATTGGGATAATAATGTGTCTGCTGGTAAGATAGAGAAGGGGTTTCTAGAGTTAAGGGAAGACTGTTGTATGACTCAGTTTGTAAAAGAGTCAACAAGGGGAGATAATATCTTGGATTTGATAATGACAACAGGGACAACCAAATCTCCAATGTGAATGTGGGAGAAGCATTAAGCAACAGCGATCGCAATCCAGTCACACTTGACATCACAAGAGTTGGTGAGGTTATAAAAACCCGAACAAAACTACCAAATTTCAAGGGGACTGACTTTGTGTGCTTGAGAAGTCAAGTTGGAGTAGGCCTGACAGGCGTAAATATGGCAATGGGAGTGGAGGACCTACAGAGTTCCTTCAAGGAGGTGATTATGAAGGCAATGGAACAGTGTATACCCATGTGAAGCAAAGGTACCAAGCTTAAAGGTAATCCTGCCTGGTTGGATGGGGCTACAAAGCAAATCATAAAAAAGGAAAAAAAGCATTTAAGGCCATGAAGGAAAATGGCACGGAATTAGTCAGATTCAATACCAGAAATGACAAAGAAAAGCATGGAATTGAACATGGCAAGAGATGTGAAGGATAATAACAAAAAGTTTTTTAGTTACATTAAGGGTAGGAGAAAAACAAGCAAAGGAATAGATAGGGTCAATGAAGGCGGGTTCAGGAAACAACATGCCAAATAATCCTGCACAGGTTGCAATAGTACTAAATAAGTTCTTTGCATCAGTCCTTACCAAGGAGTAGACGGGCAACCTATCTGATCTGGAAAGAGAACTCAAGGATATCGCAGAAAAAAGTTGTAACGTTATTCATATCACTACCAGCATGGTTGCCAAAAAGTTGTGTAAACTTAAGGTAAATAAATCTCAGGGGCCGGATAAATTGCATCCTTAAGGAACTAAGGGAGGAAGTCACAGAAATGCTAGCAGAAATCTTTCAAAAATCACTGAATACTGGAGAGGTGCTGGGGGAATGGAGACATATGTGCATGCGACTGCCTGGATGGTGGAAGTCGAACTAGATGGACCTTGGTGTTTTTTTGTCTACCAACAACAACAACAAGAAGATTCCATTTATAAAGCGCCTTTCACGTCAGGAGGACGTCCCAAGGCGCTGCACAGTTGGGTCATGACCCGAGCAGGGGGGAAATGGTCAGGGTGAGGGGAGGGAAGGGAGGGAGCGAGGAGGGGGAAATGGTCAGGGTGAGGGGAGGGAAGGGAGGGAGCGAGGAGGGGGAAGAGAGTCGAGGGGGAGCTGAAGGCACAGTCAAAGAGAAAGGTTTTGAGACCGGCCTTGAAGGAGGAAAGGGAGGAGGCGGCGAAGGCACTGGGGGATAGAGTTCCAGAGCCTGGGGGCTGAGAGGCTGAAGGCCCGACCACCAATGGTAGGGCGGTTGGGGCGGGGGACGTGGAGCAGACC